TATATATATATATATATATATATATATATTTATTTACGATTTGAATTACTAAAACACACAAACACACATATATATACAAACATTTTGTAAATCACATAAAAAAGCAGAATTTTGAGTTGCCAATCCTCAAATCTAGATGATGTAATTGAAGTTAATAGGGAAAAACAAGGAGTTCTCTTATCATTGTTATGCATACTTGAAAATATAATTTATTACATTCCAAAAGCACACTGGGTGTTTATACAATTTTATACTGAGGCTGATTTAGTAATATTTCAAAAAGACTGGTTTTATGAGGTGCAAATGGCTATTATTCTTCCACAAAACACGTTTCGGTTAATTAAATCAGACTTCTTCAAACAGAGAATCAACTAAGAATTTGGACATTATGGCTCCCCACCGAAATGCCTCAGAAGTGATCTGTAATTGAAATAGTTTTTTACTTTTTTATCAAAGAAGTATGTTTCGAGCCAGTCAACATTAAATAAGTAAAAGTTTTACTGTGATGTTTCGTCAGTTTTTGGTCTAACAATAACTGAGGTTTTGTTGACATTTCTAATACGTAACCTGATGTTAAATTTGAGATTTTATCTAATTTTCAGAATCTGAATTTTTTTAAACGCAATATACAAAATACAAAATTTTATAACATTCTTTTTATTCTGCCTGAAAACAATTATTTTGTAATTTTACGATTTGAAAAAAAATTAAGTGAGCATTTTAACAAATTAAGAGATTTATGTACATTTATCAAAATATCTTTACATTTGCTATTAATATCTAGTCTTTTGTAAATAATTTATCTTTATGAGAACACTTATTAACCATATATAAGTTGCAATATTTATTTTTGAATTTACCTTTTATCACAATTACATACATGTAAGAAACGTATATGTATTTTATATTTATGGAAAAAGCCACTAAAGCTATCTGCCAACGTCCCTAATTTTGAACTACTGACCACAGGAAAGAAAAAACCAGTCAGTAGCATCTATCGCTTAACATTCACGCTAATGGATTGGGCACGTAAGACACACATAATAGAAATAACAAGAAATTTAAGGAAAGGTCAATTTTTATCTAAAGAATATTAAATATATCAGTCATTTACAGAGTACAAAATTAGCATATTGGATATGAAAGGTTACAAAAGGAAATTCTGAAGCAATAAATTTCACCACTTATATTTCAAGGGAAAATCAGTCTGAAGAACATTACACCATAAAGATTTGTAGCAGATATGGTTACGTTATTTTTTTTTAGAAATACCACAACCAAAATATGATGCAAATTAAAAAAGAATTAGCATTTGTTTCAAATGTATGAAGGAAGTTGAGAGATTAGAAATTTAGCAATAGTCAATAACAGTCGTAGAAATGTTTTCATTTTGACCCTAACTGGTTACAGTAGTTCGAACACCACCACCTGGCAGACTATAAAGTTATCTAAGGGAAAAAGTC